CGGAGTTGGAAGCGCCTACATTTGCTACCACCAAAATGATGAACATACCAGTTGGAAGGCAGCACTGCGGCACTTCAATAGTGTGTTCCAGGCAGAAGCCTTGGCCATCCTTAACGCCACCAACGACATACTAAATAACGGCTACCACCAAGCATGCATCTGTACAGACAGCCAATATTCACTCCTGGCAATTCAAAACTTAAGCCACACGTCCCCAATTATCTCCGAAATCCAAAAGCTACTCTCTGTAAACCACCAGCAAAGCATTCACCTCACCTGGGTGGTCTAGTTGGAAACGAGACAGCAGACACCCTAGCCAAAGAAGCCGCCATCAGTTCTGAAGTTCAGCAAATCCGTATCCGTGCACCACCATCGCATCTAAAGAGGCTTCTCAAAGAAGACCTAGTCAAAATATGGCAAGAGGAATGGAACGCGTGTGACACCGGACGGCGGGTCTACAATCTCCTACCCAAAGTCTTTCTATCACGCCTCATAGCTATACCCCAACTCACCCGGTTCATAACGGGACATGGCCCCTATCCAGCGTATTATTATAGGCACAATATCTCCACTACAGATGCTTGCGTGTGCGGCCAACTTGGATCACCAAAACACTATATCTACTCTTGTCCACTCACAGCAGACAACCACATTAAGCATCCCACTCCTACAGACGCCTTTCAATGGTTCATTATTAAAAACAAACCTGCAATCAATAAAATCTGTAAGGTCATTTACCAGCTCGCAGCTATGGGCCAAGATATATGTGACGCTGCGTAATCCCACAACGTCCGCCACTAACAGAAGTCAACTAACATGTCACCGCGCTCGGCATGCTCATACACTCAGGAACCTATGCGCTCCACAAATATATATTCGCCGGACCTCTACGTGTCTCCCATATCAATGTCCAGCAATCACATGTTATTCCCATCTTATGATCCCTCGTCTGTAAACACACCCCGCAATGTACAGTATATGTGATCAATGAGGCCAAATATGTATCTGACATGTGGTAAATGTGTATCATTATTTTTCAAGTGTGTTTTATTTGTCATAAGTCTTCAGTGTTAATCAAGTGTATCCCTCTCCCCCCTTTTTTTCCCTCTGCGTGTGTGTTTTCTGTACATTTTCATGTTTTTGTGTTTTCATACATTTAGTACCTAGCTCTGAGCCCCTCATCTGTTAATCCGTCCCACAAGTCTCATACCTGTAATTAAGTAATAGTCAAGCAATGTTAATAAGTCACCCCTGTTTGGCCATGTAAATTCCTGCGCTCTTAATAAGCTCCCGGTGTGGACTCTTGAGGCCACAGGGAGTTGTTGCCATTAGATAGTGGAAGGCGAGGGACACATGCCTATTTATCTCTGGTAGCCACCAGGCGTCCCCGTCTTCCGTCACCTACCTACCTACCGCTCAGGACATGCCAGACCCCGAGGCTGGGCAATGAGTGACCTTTGATGGTCACTCATTGCCCAGCCTCGGTGGTAATCGTCGGTGGTAATGAGTGGTGGTAATCGTCTCATGTGGTCCGTCTGAAGATGGCCACAGGGATGTCTCGAGCAGATTATTGAGGATAGAGCTTGCTATTATTTTTTCCCATCTTTCACCAAGCTGCACTCCACGCGTCGTCCATGGTCTTCTTGACTGTCGACGTAATTTTATTGCATATGGTTCTGTATGTTAGGGGATGCGTTGGCTGAGGCATAGAGCATCCTTCCTTTGCGAGTCAGTCGGCCTGTTCTTTTCCAGTGATGTCACAACGCCTGGGATCCACTGCACATGAATATCTGTTGCCTTCTGTAGTTCAAGGAGTCTTTTCTGAATTGGGCTACAAGCTGTTCTTCAGAGTATTCTGCACTGAAGACTACTTATACTGCAGCCGTTGAGTCCGAGAGAAAGACTACTTTTTGTTTGATGTCTAGAAAAATTTATTGTCTCTTGAAGACACCAATAGAAATACTGACAAATTCTGACTTGTGTGACGTCAGTAAAAATTCGCTACTCAGAGTAATTTGCTGATAAAAAAAAGACAAAATACAGTTTCAAAAGCTTTAATTAACTAAACAAACATAAATAAACATGTATGGCAAAGCAGCATAAACTAAAAAGCAGCGGTCTTTAAACTTTATCAACTCACAGAACTCTTTAGAATTATAAGGTTTTTCTAGAAACCAATCCCACACTTAGGGAAATATATCTTAGATAATTGAAGAAAAAAAAAAAAAAAAAAAAGAAGAAGCATTTTTTAATTAAAAAATTAAGATAGAATACCATGCTCCAGGTATCATCTACTCTTAAATTATATTTAGTAACAGCGGTGTGCTTGCATTTTTTATACAAACTGTCGAAGTCTAGTTCTATAATATTACCCGCAGTCGCATTTCCTATCCTGCATTTAATTTGTTGCTACATACATTAAAAAGAGTTTTCATTTAAATACATTGTTGAGAATGGTATTAAAATGTTTCTAGTTGTGTAAGAAGCTTCTATGTACTCTGCATGAATCTACAACCCAAAATTTAGGAGCTTAGAGTTTTAACGTTGATTCTGTTCATAATGCATAAAAGTTGTTCCTCTTCTTACATTGCAAACGTTCTGATCTATCGTAGTACTCGAACGGATTTTTTTATCTGGTCATAATTAGTTTTTTCTTCTGGGAAATATTATTTCATAGTTTTCTTCAATTGAAAACTATTCAAATGATGCTTAACAAATGGTTGCATCTCTATGCCTATAAGGTACAGCTGTTACAGGCCTTGTCACCAACAGACAAACTAGAATGTGCGGAGTTTGCAATAGAGATGTTACTCTGTATGGATGAAGATGAAGGGTTCTTAAAATAGGTGTACTTTAGTGATGAGGAAATATCTTTATCATATGCAGCTTAAGTGTCTGTCTGTCGCCGATAGTTTATTGGTTGCTTGCGTAACTGTATTAGCCAATGGGGTGAAGTTGCCACGGCATTCAAATAGTTCATATACATTGATACCATACATGCAGTTATCATTGTTTTAATTAATTTACCATGGTATTTAAGAACATTTAAATATTTTTAATTCATATAATTGTTGCTTATTATGCATTTAATTATATTTACATATGAATTACCTAGAAACTTGCAAACGTTGATAAACTAAAGGAGACGAAACCAACTAACGAGCTGTACGTAGTACATCTCATCAGGTAAGTTTACCCAAACTCCTATGCTAAATATCCTTTCGCGTAAAGGGTTTAAAATTTTGCCCGATTTTATTCCGACATTGTACTTTAAACTGAAATTTCAGCTGAACGCAAATTGAGTGTGTCAGGGGAACGTGAATATTTGTTTGCATTAGCAATCATCTGTTTTTGAAATGGCTTACAACTGAACGCAAACTGAGCGTGTCAGGGGGGGATAGGTGAACATTTGTTTGCATTAGCAATCATCTGTTTTTTGAAACAATTTAAGGCTGAACACACAACCTTTGCACAAATCATTTTAATTACAATTTATAATATCTAGAACAGCGGTCATTTCGTATGACCGCCGGGATTTCTAGTTTCATATATCTGGCCAGTTAAAGCGACATAGCGTACGAATCTGGAGTTTAGAAACCCCACATGAAACACTAGAAATTGGAAGAGACAGCCCAAAGGTTAACGTCTGATGCGCAACCGAATCATTAGGCATTTTTCTTCGCTAAAGAAACAGTTAATGGTGGCATCTACCTGGACATGCTTCAACTCTTTGCTTTTCCTCAGTGGGAGGATTTGCAGCCCAATGCTTAATTCCATCAAGGTGCTCCATCACACTGGTTTAGAGCACTTTTTCCAATCGATGGATAAAACGGGGTTACCCAATACCATGGCCACCAAGGTCTCCAGACATCACATCCCTCGACTTCTTTCCGCGGGGTTATTTGAAGGATGCTGTTTACCGGACACAGGTTGCTAACATCGTCGCATTTCAGATGCTTTTACCACTGTCACACCGTACCTGGCAGGAAATTCAATACAGACTGGATGTGCTCAGAGTCACAAATGGTGCACATGTTGAGGTGTACCCCTGAATAGAAAAAACTTTGATGAGTTGCACTAATGACTGCAGAAAACAGAATGTAAATATCTTTTTTTTTATTTTAGAAGTTATTAAAGTTTTAAAGATAATTCTTGGACACCCTATGTAATTTTTAACAATGTCATCTAAATTCAGTTTATTTTCCATTAGAAAATTGTTTAATTTTCGATAGAACTGTAAGTCATTCTCTTTGAGGTATAACGATTTAAGCCTTAAAAATTAATCCATTACCAAATGTATTTTTAATTTTATCTTCGAATTTTTATTTTAACTCGCGGATCTCTGAGGTTTGAATCACGGCACCCAGATTGAAGACCACTGAACTAAAATAGAGAAGACAATACAGTAAATATTTGTATCGAGAAAAAAACTTTTCTTCGAGAAACAAACAAATAAATAAAAATAAACAAATAAAATATACGTACTTCATGGATAAATATGAAGTTCCAGAAGTATTGCCGTCTTTGAAAATGCAATGAAATTTCACTAAAGTGAAATCGTTGAGCCATGATTTCAAAGAAATGAGAATACTCCACCGTTGATATGTCCTAGAAAGCCTTTTTTAGGTTGCAAAGCTGAACATTCTTTTTGATGATATTTCGGGCTCAATGCTGTCTCATTTGGTATGTCTGTTTCTTAGATCATCAGTCCATACCGAATGAGATTACATCGCTACCCTTCAGTGACTTAATCCATTCTTCAATATACAAAAGATTTCTGATGCAAAATAATCAGTAATTACGCAAAACTAATATACAGAGGAAAGTTCAAGACATGAATAACTAAAAGTTTTATTTCTAAGACATGAGTAACTAAATAAATTTAGTTAAGTATTATGTTTTAGTTCTGATTTCATCAACAGATGGCGCCACTTGCTTATTCTTGTGCAGGCTTTCTTATCTTATCTAATCTTTATATCCTATCCTATCTCGTTCATTTCCGGTTTTGCATTGAGGATGGTGGTTCAGTAAAACAATCGAAACTAGTCCTGTGAAAATTTTGAAAATATAACGCTGATTTTTGTTGTTTGACTTCTGAATTAGTAACTAAGTAAGTGTTTATACTCTTTCCTGCCATTGAAGACATCTGTTTAGTCGCAACCCTTAATTTTGAAGATGGAGTTAGTTCACAGCGCAGTTTTGGACCTCATGTTTAAAGCACCGTCGGCATCATTCTGTTGTCAGAAAGGAGAATTATATATATATATATATGGAAAAAAAAAAAAAAAAAAAAAAAGGCTAGATCATTGAAACCTTTTTCCTCGAACTGTCTATCCTGAGGGATCTTAACTAGGAACTGAATTCCTGTTTGCTTGTCCATAAGAGCTGTGGCTGCCAGAGTGGAGATTTCAACGTGCATAATGAGCATTCTAAGAGAAAAAGAAATGAGAAAAAAATTAAGGATTAAAAAAAGAGAAAACATTAGTTCAAAAGTAAATATATTTCTGTAGAAATTTCCACGTATAGTTTAAAGACATTTATAATCTTAAATAACGATGCACGATTTATTTTTAAAATATAAATTAACACTAAGAGAGGGATTCCAAAAAATATCTATTAACAAATGTACTGTATTCTATTACGTTATTCTAGAAGTAAGTTTGTATGAACGGTAACGGTGGCTTTTACACTGACAACTTATTAAAAATTTCTTTTTAAAATACAACACAACATCTTTCCATTCAGGCTGAGCTATAGAAAATCCATATGTACAGTAAAAGGCTAATTTAAGCGAGCTTCAGTTAGCAGGAACGTAGCTGAGCCAAAACGGTGCAGAAAATAACAACACTAAGTCCATAAGTTTAAAAGCCGTTTACATAGTTAATTACTTTTTTCTTCCACCCAGAGCTAAATATTTTTCTTCTTTCTTCTTCTTTAGAGATAAATACAGTGGAATCTTGAATCACGAATAAATTTTCAGAATGAGAAATGTCTCTGAAGACGAACGAGTCTCTAGATACTAACAAGTAATCCTGCAGAAAATGATACTTCAAAATGTAGTTAATGCAGTGGAGGAAATGTCTTCAGTAGAAGAGGAAGGAAGGAGGTTTCAAGTAATTAAAAATTTGATCCTCAAAATTTGTGCAAAATGGGGTAAAATTTCATAGAATATTTATCAACTTAATAAAGTAATAATAAACATAGCATAAATATTTGCAATGGCTATGCATGCCTTAGAAATATTTTAAAAAGTAGATATACACAAATAACATTAAATAAATTTTTAATTTAAAAAAAAGAAAAAGAAAATCTGGCGATTCTTCTTTTCAGTAGTATATAAAAGTATTTCAAGCCATATTGAAAAATTTCTTAGCATTTGATTTTGTAATAGAAATTAATATTTTCATTATTGTTATGTACTACTAAAATGAGAGATACTTCAAAAAGTTAAATCATATAACATGAAATCATTGTTTTAAATGAATATTTTATCTTGAACGAGTACTAAGAGGAAAATTGCATTACAACTTTCGATTGCATTTTCTAATCGTTCCACTAAGAAATTCTCTAACTTATTGTATTTTTTCTGCTAAATTTTAAGTGCTTAAATAAGTAGGTAACATTAAATTTACCAGTAGATGCAAGCGATGCTAAAAGAAAGAGAAACAAAAATCAGAAAGACTGTAATTATCTAATATTTTTATGGAAAGAACTTTCCTTTCAAATAATAACATTTTGCACCCTTGGCTTCTTTACTGTTTTATACTTACGCCTTCGTATGGTACTATACATTTTTAGAACAACTTCGATGCCTTTTAATTTATGTTTAAAATGTAAAGAATATTTTTAAAATGTTTTATCTGATAATCTTTTTTCTGGACTATAAATCTGCATTGTAAGTTCCATGATAGAAGGACTTTTCCTTAAATTCCGCTTCCTCTTCCACCACATTCCAGAATCCACTAATCGTAGTGGGTTTGTGTTTAGAAGAGTTCCTCTTAAGAGACCAAAGATGCAACACTCCATACGTGAAACATCAGAGCACTTGGCAGGAATACGTTGAAAAGTAATATATGCAATAATATCTGTATCACTCTTCATTTTTTCAAGGAATGCAGTGGTATTTTTCGAAGTATGACTTATTTCTTTGTCTTGATGAAGTTTAACTCTTTGAAAGTCGTTCGGATAAAGAAATGGAATTTCTTCTGTAAATATCGTACTCAAAACTTTCTCTTGATAATATGTTGAGTTGATTTTAATATTATTCCTATGCTTTTTGCTTTTAATTTTGTAATTGTTAAAGAATCCTGCTACAGTCGTAAACCCTTCACTGTAACTTTATTTGCATTGCCGGAAACAGGTTTGTACACTTTTTTTCTCCCCGTTTTCGAGAATATGTAGCCCTTTTTTTCTTGCAGTCATTTAGGTAAACCTATGCTTTATCAAGAGTCACTATGTATTTCCATTTATCTCATGCTAAATAGTTTCCGTACAAGGTTCTAGAAATTGCTTTACATTGACTCACATGCCTTCGCAAAAGCTGGTGAATATTATGAATTTTAGTTTTAGTTATGAATCTTAGTTTATTATTTTATTTATTGTCACAACAGATGTATTTAAAAACTTTGCAGCTGATTTTTGCGTCAGCGGATATTCTCCTGTTAACAGACGATTTAACTTTAGAAACAGTACATACACTGAGAAAATAAAATAAAATTAAAAAAGGGACAGTTCTATATCTTCCGTTCTATTGGTCCGATTGACGAAATTCAAATTGCGTTTTTCATGCCTCGAAAGCACGAGTTAGGATATATAATAGATTTATATATAGCATCATTCTAATATAGGTATTTTGACACAAAACCGGACATTTTTCTGAAAAGAAATGCCAATTTTTTCCATATTTCAATTCTACGACTCAAATTATGCCAAACTGCCAGTTTTGTAAAAATCGCACTGATAGCTTTTAAAAAATTAGCTCTCAAAATTTTAGCTTAAAAAATTTTTCAGAAATTTCAGAATTTAAAAAATAAATAAATAATAATAAAATCTTTAAATATTCATTAAAATTATTAATTAGATATATCATGAATCAAGTACATTTTTATTTAAATCCCGCAGATACTTTATAAAAAAAATATTATTAAGAACTGAGGTTAGGGCTTTTAAAGAACTTCACATTTTGCTCAATAACGGTCACATTAAATCTAAAACCTAAATTAAATATCTTACACTGTGACAAATGGTAGCACACCGGCGCATGGAAAATAAAAAACATTTTTATTTAGGGGCTAAATTTGGGCTTCCAGATGCCCATATTCGGATGGAGACGTACGTTATTCAAAATTGGATGACCCTAGGTACCTTTTTTTATCACAATGCGAGAAACATACATACATACAATTATGCAGATTCTTCATTATTTAATTTCTTTAAATATAACACAAGGATATAATGTTTGGCGACAACAATTTGAAAAGTGATTCGCCGTTTATAGTGAATCAACACGAAATGCCAAAACGAAATTAATAGCCCCTTTGGGCTAACAATATTTTTTAAAAAAATTGCAGCAGGAAAAATACATTATTCTACACTACATTTCTCTTATAATACATATAGCATATTACAGAATTACAAATTTTGTAATTCTTAATAAATACTTACCCTTAAAGCATGTTATTGTTATTCATAATCCCAAGCCTTTCGTTCAGATTCAAAGAAGTACCTTAATAAGAAAATTTTACCTTTATTTTAAATCTATATATTATGTATTTTTGGGAAAACAAAACTTGTTTTTATGGTGTCAGTGTTATTTACAATTCAGGTGGTATTAAGTAATAATTAGAGAACTTACCAAATTCCTATTAACCCAGAATTTATGGCAGGCAAGAAATCCCATAATAAAATTACTAAAATGTTCATAAATGGGAGAGTTTTAGTTTTTAAACACCAAGTTCCTTAAAAAACACCAACACCAACCTATGTCATAAACACCAACCTCTATCATATAATTTTATAATTTTAAACTAAAAATTTTTACTCGATAGATATCAAATCTAATTCGAAGTAAATTCAAATTTAACCTAAATTAGAATTTACTTTATATTAATTATTCATATGGCAACTTATAATTTTCTTCACCGACATTTTTTGAAATGTTTCAGAATATATTATAAAGCATATAATACTGACAAAATTTATAAAAGCTATTTCATATAATATTTTACAATATTAATGCATGAACATTTGAGTATATACAGGGGTTGGACAAAAATATGGAAACACCTTTAAAAAAACATGTTTCTTTGCTTAATATGGTGTAGGAAACCCGTTGGCATCCAAAACAGCTTGCAGTCTTCTCGGAATGGATAAATACAGTTCCTGTATGTTTGACAAGGGAATATTATACCATTCTTCCTGAAAAACGGTGGCAAGTTCAGATAACGATGTTGGCGGTGGATAACGAGAACGCACTTTCCGTTCCAATGTAGACCACAAAGGTTCGATAATATTCAGGTCTGGTGACTGTGGTGGCCAGGGGAGATGGGACAACTCATCCTCGTGCTCAGAAAACCAGTCCTGGACAATGTGAGCTGTGTGAACAGGGGCTTTGTCGTCTTGGAAGACACCATCACCATCGGGGAACAAAGTTTGTACCATGGGATGAACTTGATCGGCCAAAATGTTCACATAAGTCTTGGCAGTCATGTGCCCTGACACAGTTATCATGGGGCTAGCAGAGAACCACGATATGGCTGCCCAAACCATAACAGAACCCCCCGCATGTTTCACTCTTGGCAACAAGCAGTCTGTATTATAGGCTTGAGATGGCGTTCTCCAGACGTAAACTCGGCCAGAAGTGGGAAACAATGTGAAAGAAGACTCGTCAGACCATATTACTCGCTTCCACTGCTCTATAGTCCAGGCTTTATGACTTAAACACCACCTTTTCCTGTTACGGGCATTAGCATCACTGATGAGTGGCTTCTCAATTGCAGCACGGCCAGCAATTCCCTGTTTATGAAGCTCCCTTCTAATTGTTTTGGTACTCACAGGGTTCGGTAACACAACATTCATTTCAGCAGTAACTTTTGCAGCTGTGGTCTTCTTATTTTTCGTCACAATTGCCCTTAATGATCGTCTGTCACGATCACTCAGGACACACTTTCGTCCGCGCTGTGATTTAGCAGAGATGATGTTTTTCCGCTTTTCAAATATGCGGAATAAATCTTCGATACAGTACCTCTTGAAACACTAAACACCTCGGCTACCTTGCTTACGGAAGCACCTACCATACGTGCTCCAACAATTTGCCCACGTTCGAAGTCTGTTAACTCTGACATAATGCAATGACAACCTCACATAACAGTACTACTCCGACAACAACTGAACTGTTTAGCACATTTACGAAGTTGTATAGGTGAAGTCAGTAGTCAAAAATGCCAGCGCCACCAACACATTTCATTAAAATCAATCTTTCTTTTCAAACATGCATTTCACAAGGTGTTTCCATATTTTTGTCCATCCACTGTATAAATTAACTGCATGCACTTAAAATCAAGTGATACATTTTATTGAAAAAAATGTCATTAGTACTCTAGAAAAGCCTCTAGGATTAGAAATCTAGTGTTCTCGGGAAAAAAAAAATGTAATTAGTACTCTAGATTGGAATAACCATAAGAGTCAGAATATTTGTTTGAGGACCGTTAAAGAAACATACGTAGAAAAATGCATTAAAAAAGCAAACATTGCTATTACCCAGAACATAAAAAACATCTCATTTTTCAGAATTCTATTTCTTGACTTACACTTAAACAAACGAACGAACGATAAAAAATATTTGCTGCCAAATTTTGATAAGAAAATAAGCGCTATAAAACTCAGCATTAATAAAGAACGTAAGTCAGTGGTCAAAATCATCTGAATTCCATCAATTATCTATACCTTCCTTTTCAGTACCTAAAGAAACCTAAATTTCTCTAGCTGAAATAATACGAAGTGGTAGGGGTTTAAGACATTATTTGCTCTTTTGACAGTTATGGAGGCGCGCTTACTGAGAATCACGACTTTATTTCGAATCTCAACAATAGAAACATAACTTATATTGAACCAGTGACTGCTTGCTTGTTTCAGTGACTGCTATCAGCGCGTGCAACATGACAATACCGATGCGTGTTGTTATCGGAATTTATTCTTATTCACTCTTTCGGGTACTTGTCTTGGATCCTTATTATTTCAGCCAATGTACGGGCAAGTAGCATTCCAGAAGTAAGAAAATTGCTGCAATATGACCTATTTGAGTTAAAATTGAGAATTTATGCATTATTTCTTAACTCATTTTCCCAATTTTGCTTTTTCATGTTCCTTGCGAAATATCTTTAAATGACTCTTTAAAAAGGATTCGTGTTTTTTTAAGATATCTATAGTAAAGCATTTGTTTCTTATTGGGATTTAAAGATCTTCAAAGAGGTAGATTCGGTGAAAAGTAATTTGATCTGTGAAAGAAAGAACTGTGGATGTCTAAAATCTTGCCATTTGTCTAAAACTGACGTCATTTTGTCATTTGTCTTAATATTTGAGGTTTATTACACTGATTACATTTAATTTTTTTAATAAAATTAAGTACAAAGAAGAGATAGAAAGGAATATGGAATGTACACACAAGAAAAAACGGTTGAGAAAAATTGCTTATTTATCTCAAATGTTATAAATTAAGGGATAAAAATGAGCAATAATAATAAAATCATTAAAAAGAAGCAGAAAAACTAAATAGCGATGTGAACATTTCTTACCATCCAAAAGAAATATTTAAAAATTAAGGTTTTGTAGAAAATAGTACCTTGGCATAATGAAAAAAGTGTTGCGTATCCTCATGGCCATTTGCTTTAAAACCTTTTATTTATCTTCAAAATTAGAGCCGCACATTGCTTATCGATATAAAAATAGGAAAATATCTTACTATTAATGTCGGTTCACTTTTCAAATCGTTGCCACCAAATGTTTTCGCTCTGTGTTATATTTAAAGAAATTAAATAATGAAGAATGTTCATAAATAGTTCTCGCATTATGATAAAACAAGGATACCTAGAGCCATCAAATTTTGAATAACGTAATCTTCCATTGAATATAGGCATGTGGAAGCCCTAATTTTTTTTAATTTGCTTTATTATCGATTTCATATTTTATAACACTTCAGCGAATTTTTGATTAAGAAACTAAACGATTTCAAAACGAGCAATGGCACACTATGGGGGGGGGAAAAAAAAAAAAAACACATCATTTTATTTCCAGCGCGCGAGACTGTGTTTCAGAAATTCTAGAGATATACTCTCTTAAATATTTAATGAATAAAAGGTAATACAAAAACGTTAAAAATCGGCCCTTGCGCGTAATATAAAATCTGAAAGGTTTTGGATTTTTGTTTGGTAAGACTAAGAGCTTTTCCTGCATCGCTTGTTATATCTTCAAGTTACGCTTTTGAAGGCAAAGTATTATGTGTAAAAATAGGTTTTCGTCTATGATGATTAAACACGGAAGCAACGAAATGTGTTAAATTTGTATCTAAACCTCTATTTGAAAGATTCATTCAGAGAAATAAACAACAGAAAGTCTTGGTAGTAGAGTTTACTAAAAAATTACTCAAATCAGCCAAAATGTCCCAAATCCAGATTCTTTTTTTTTTTTTTTTTTTTTTTTTGATATAATTCCTCGAATTGTTGTTTAAAACGATTCCACAAAATTTTATAATAAAATTGTACTTTTCATTTCAGTTCTTTTAATTATTCATTGTGATTATCAGTAACAGGTAAGATTCAGCACTAAAAGCGTAATTCGTTTAGTAGCATTGTCCAGTTACGTATTATTTATAATTAATTAAATGTGAACTTTATAATTTGTCAGATCCTATCCCTTTTTAAACAAGATGCTTCCTTTTGGAGTTATTTCATATGCAGAATATATCAGACTCTAGATCTTGATTAAAATTACAACATAAGAAAATGAGACCCACTGACTACATGCAATAAAAAGTTAAATAGAAAGCGTTGTTAGCGTCATATTTTAGTTGCGAGATTTCTCCCTAACCCCCCTTTTAACCAGGGTAATACTGCAAATGACGTTCATGGTTAACTCAAAATCACAGTTAACAACTGAAGGTAGTACAGACGAGAATAATCTGTGTTATAATTGACATAAAAATGATATTAACTCATCTGTGTTTTTAAAGCTTTTTAATCTGGAGAATAGGTTAATTTTTTTTACATAAATTACACCAGTATTGGAAACAAAAGAAGCGGTCTTTTTCCATTAACCTTTATGCTTTTATAGAAATCAAAGGGAAACGGAAGATTTATTTTTCTGATTGAGCAGTTTAGTTTTAATGGACGATTTGATCTTAGTTATATGTCCGGGATTATGTATACAATTAAATTACGCACTGCTATGAATAAAAACAGCTTCCAAGATAATATAACATCTTCAATGATTATTGTTATTACTCGCAGTTTCTTTTCTTTTTTATGCTTTATGTTTAAACAGCCATGTTCTTCGCTGTGGTTTGTGATAAGTAATTTTTCTATAGTTTTCCTATAAAGTAATTGGAAATGACAATGCAATGGAGTAAAGTGTTTTTTTAGCCTAAAGGAGCTTTAGCTGAGAAGGGCTATTAGTCTGAAAAAGAGATTTTTCGTTGAATTACTGCAAAAGGCTGAATAATTTTTCAAAATT